GGAGGGTCTGTTGTGAAAGACGCCCCCTTTCCCCACCCAAGGGGTGCAGCAACTCCTTCAAGCCACCAATGGGATGATATTCGCATGTGCAGAAGAGCTAAGAGGTTTTGGCCTGCTCTTTGCCACCTCTTCCCGCTGCGATGACGGAATTTGAACTAAGGTGCCCAATGAAACGTTTTAAATTCTTGGAACCCACATCCCTTCCAAGGGACTGGATGTGATTCTGCTCCCATCCGCCATACCTGCCCCGACAGAGTGAGAAAATAACTCCCTAAAATGGAGGCTGAATGGGCAGTTTCGCCAAGTCTTTCTGGCGTCTCCCCAACCCTCTCTAGCCCAGTTAATGGTCGTGTCACACAGCAGGCCTGGCCGTTGGGGAAGGCTGCTTTGAACGTTAGGAAGCAAATGAAACGGGGTACTTAAAATAGTATTTTAAAGCATACTATTATATCATTTATATTTTACTGAAGTAAAACATTACAAGGAAAGCAATTCTTCCCGTCAGAGATGCAGGAAAGAGGTTACACGCCTGAGTCTGTCCTACCGCTCTCAATGAAAAGCAAATATAAACTATTCCATGATGGATTTAAGCTTAGTCTAGAATGAAGACTCTTCAACTTGAAAGACATGTCAAAAGATTAATCCTTCTGCAAGAGGCTAAGATACAACACTCCATTCGCAGCTTTTCAGCTTCAGAACTGATCTTCCAAAATAGAAAAGGGTCAAGATAGGCCTCTCTCCAGTGGAAAGGTGCACCCTCCCCCAAATGAAACTCACATCACCAGCACGGATGACTATAAGTGATTTTGGGATTGACAGGGAGACTGGAGAGCAAGAGGATTCCCGCATGTACGAGATCAGAAAGACCCCCCCCCCCCCCCCAAAAAAAGGTATGTATGTTAAATGCAGGAATTGTTTTCAGACAGCACCCTTCATCTTTAATCCTCAAAATATTTTATATCCCATATATGTGATCTGTCAAAGTGCACTGGAACCCAGAATAAACATGCAGAAAAAGTGATCTCTCAAAATATATTACTTGAGAAGCAGAAGCAGAAACGGGCTAATTCTTGCAGAGGGATTTTATTTGCAGTAAAAGCACTGCTGGGAAAAGGTAAGCTTTATGCAAATCAGTGTATCTCTTGCAGGCACAACAAAAGAGAAGGGCGACCGATAACCGACAGAAATCTTCCATGGAGAAGCTAAAGGATGATGTTAGGCTCTACAGGCTGGCTCCTTCTCCACTTAACGTGGAAAGAGATCTGAGGGAGATGCCAGAGGGGAATGCCCAGTCATGCCACACAGCTGCTATTTCCTCCCAAAGAGAATCAAAACGTATGCATACAAACCATCTGCAAGCGACAGCTGAACCTCCTTCTTCGCTACTTTGGGCCATACTTTACAGGGACGGTTCCTCATCCAAAACCAGGGCACACCGTGACACACCTACAAGTTCAAGAGAAAAGGGCTTGCCCATAGTATGAAGAGTGCAGACCCCCGAAGTTTACTTCCTGAACTTCCCCCGCAGCATGATAGGTCCCTGCGAGATAAGCCCAGTTCAAAGAAACTATGGAAGAAATGCAACTGATCTTACTCCTGGGAAAAGATGCAGATTCCTTTCAGAAGAGAATAGCAACCTGGAGGGCAGGACGAAAATTAACCTTTCAACCGAAGCCTGTATATGGGGAAGTCTCTGTCGCCTTTGCTTTAGATGCCACTGATTTAAAGAAACAGGTCTGGTTCTTCAGGTCATTTGATGGGTAGAAAATAGCCCGCAGACAAGTATTTCTCTATTGTTTAACAAGAGTTCCAATAAAGACCTTTTTCTTTTCTTACTGTGAACTGAAGAGAAGGGTGGTGGGAGAGCCCAAAGTTAGTAAAGAAACTCTTGACGAGAAAATGAAATAGGAGAGAATTTCTTAAAAAACAGTGGGGCGGTGTCAAAGTTTCTGGAGGAAGAGATGCTGACAAAGAATGAATCATGGGGTTCAGTAAGTAGTTGGGGCCCTGCCCACCTGAGTTCCCCAATTCTATTGGCCCTTGGATCCCACTTGCAGATCTTTGGAGCAGCAACTCAAAACAAAGCGTCTGGCTGCGTTCTTCAGGAGCAGGGAGATTTTCTGAGCTGTTTGTTACCCTCCAAATAGAAAGATGTCGCATTTGGAATGAATGATGGGAACTGCCCACTCTAATTTATTCCTAGGCCCCTGGGGACTACTAATAAGCCATGGGCAAAAGAAGCACCATGGTACCAGCCCGGGATCTCTCCCACCAGTGAAGACTGCAAAACAACCAATTCCTAGGGCCCTATTTAATTTCCAGGTGCTCAGAAACACAATTATGAAGAAAAAAAGGAGTGGCTCCGCAGAGCAGAAAGTGTGGAAGGAAGACATCCTCAAGTACTACTGCTGCTTCTGAAAGGCAAATGACTGACTGGCACCAAACAATGGCGGTCTGAGGCTTCCGCTCTCAGAAGACTAGGGTATTTTCTCATTTCAAAGCCCAAAATTTGGGGATTGGAAGAAAATTCATCCTATAAAGTACTGCAGCTTTTACACGACCTCAAGAAAGGAGGGGAAAAAGACATCCAGAGATGCTAAAGGATATTAACCCATCTATATAAAACCAATCAATATAACAACTAGGAAAACGTTTCACAATGCGGAACTAAGGAAGGAACACCAGAGAAAGACTGGATATAAATCTCAGGCTACTCGCTGCTTCCAAGAAAGATTCTCTTGCAGCTAATTCCCTGCGCCACCCCAATCCAGAAGTTCAAGACAGACTGAAAAAGGGTCTTCTCCAAGCTTTGAGGAAGGACCCCCAAATTAGCCATGACAAGAAGTGCAACAGTAACCATATTAGAAGCCATAAGCAAAGGGTTCCACAATTTTCTGGAAGAGCATCGATTCCTCTACCGTGCAATTTTGGTTACAGAGGTAGAACAGTTCTCCTGTTATGCTAAGGATTAATATCAACCAAGGGCACCTTCAGTCGTCTTCCTTACAGAGCAAATCACAAATGCCCAGCTTCCGCTTCTTCTAGGCCTGTAATTCAATTCAAACCAACCATAAAACCACAGTACCCAAACTTATGTTGAAGGGCAGAATATGACTCTGTCTAGTGCAGATGTTTTGAGGAACTATCCACACCATGCTTGACCACTGGCTATACCAGCCGCGGGTGGAGTTGCCTCCCCAAACATCTGCCTTAAAAGCCTACCAATCCACCTACAATTCCCTGGGACAACCGCTACAAATAAAGCCTTGCCAAGCAGGCTTCTTTTCAATCCCTGTGATCATCTGCAACAATTTGGGCCCAATAAAATCAGCAGTCAGCCCAGAAGAGCTTATGCATCTGGCGCTTACAGATATTTGCCAGCTTTCTATGCATCTGTCCCGTATCACCAAGACAATGACATTTTTCTAAGGGGTCTATGTGCTTTAATCCATGTCCTACATTATTGGCATTCTCAAGCTAAGGCCAGGTTTTCTCAGCTCTACTCCATGTTAATTTCATATAACAGCAACAACAAAGATACTGCACAGCTGCTATCATCATCATAAGATTTCTGATGGTTTCTGGTTGCAGAATTAAAGGGCAGAGCAGTCATAGCACAAGAAGAGCACTAAGAAAACAGACCCAAAGGGTATTTTTTCCCCCCTCTGGAAGAATAAAACATAATGAAGCAACACTGCCAGTTCCTGACACCCCCCCCCCCCCCCATAAGAAGACAGCAAAAATAAGCAAAAGTTCAGCTCACCTTTAATTCTCTCTTCCGATTTCGGTCACTGTTGGACTTGGAGTGTCGAGAGCTTCGCCCTTCCTCAACGGCTTCAAAAAGCTTATCAACAAACCGCAAGGTGGAATCATCCAGGAAGGGCTTGAGATGATCTGGGAAAGAGAGGAGAGAGGGAGAGAGTACAGTTTGGCAGCCCAAAAGACGCCACCTCAACCAACCTGCCCTGTGTGTTCTGAAAGCAGCTAGTCCTTTCCTCAGTTCATCCCAATTACCAGGAAGGAAAAGGAAGGCCACAGACCTCTTTCAGCCAGAGCAGGAGGGTCCGACCGCGTCCCCCGGCCCTCCAAGATCTCGGGGGCCGGAGCCAGCCCAGCTCAGCGGCTCCCGCAAGACCTACCGGCCGCCTTCTTCTTGTCCATCCCTTTCCCGACGCAGTTCAACGCGGCGGTCACCACGGTGGGCTCGGAGAAGCCGAGGACCCGCTTCACCGTCTTCTCCACCCACGGCTTCAGCTCGTCCAGCTCCCGCTTCGAGAGCGCCATCTTGGGAAGGCTCCACCGGGGCGCTGGGGGGAAAGAGGGTCGCGGTTGCAAAGGCCCGAGGGGGAAAGGAAGACACTCCCCCCACGAGGCGGGACTCGGTCTCGCCCCGCCAGGCCGCGGCTCGGTCGCTCGCCGAGGCTGGGATTGGGGGGAACGCCTCTCCCCACCCTCGCGGGCAGCGCCGCCGCCGCCGCCTCTGAACAGCCAAAAGGGCCGCAGCAGGCGCCCAGCTGTTCCCTCCCGCCCAGGGAACCGGGGACCGAGGCACCTCCTCACCGGCGGTCTCCCTCCGCGCCTGGGAAGGAAAAGGCCGCAGGCCTCGCGGCGGACGGAGGCGGAACGTCGGCTCTGGCGCCGCGCGGACCGGAAGCGGAAACGAGCTTCATCAGAGACTCCGCCCGCGACGCCCTCTGGCTTGGGGGCGGGACTTCCTGGAGGCCGCCGCCTGAGCTGCAACCGTGCTGACGACCCACGGCCAGTAGGGGGCGGCCGCGGCTGCCGCTCTCGCCGGAGGAACCGGGCGGAGGGAAGGAAGGGAGCGGTCTCAGCACGGAGGTGGGCGGTGGAAGGACCCCCGCCTCGGGTACTGCTCCCCCCACCAAGCAAGGCGCACCCCCGAAGAGAAGAGCCATCCCCGGCCCACACCAACGCCCGGAACTCTCCCCTCCCCCGGTGCGCGTTCAGGATGGGGACCAAAAAGCTCTCAAGAGACGCGGGACTTCGTATGGATTTTATTGACAAATAAAGCGGGCAGGAGCCTCGGCCAACCCTGGACATTCTTTGGCTTAGCAACCGAGCCAAGGATCCGGTCGGCTTTTCCTCATGAGGAAATTGATTTTTTTGCCCATTTCAGAGTTATAGATTCTCCGGCACGCTTCGTAAGCCTCCCGCCGCCTCTTCTGGCACGGCTTCTCATAATACCGCTTCCGCTTAACGTGATCGATCACTCCATCCATAGTGAGGACTCTATAATAAAGATCAGAAAGAAGGGACCGTCTCTGTAAAAAGGCGAGATCCCCGCCAGAAGATCCGATGGACGCGCAAGTTTAATTCGGGCTGAATTTTCCCTCCCTCCAACGTTCTGTATGATTTGCGCGGCTTTCCGAAGAGTTCCCGAGATCCCGTCGGGGACAACACGCGGCTGTTTAAAACTTGGGGTCGGGTGTGTGTGTATGTGTGTGAGGCCCGAGGGAAATCTCAACCATGCCGGTCTCCTCCATTAGACGGGGAGAACTGCCGTCATTCAGAAGAAACCCGTGTCAGCGCTTCGAAGATGGCTGGGCAGCAGCCCCGCGCCTTCGCCTTGACACGGGCGCTGAGCAGCCGCTGGCCCTCCTGAAGGGAGCCGAGCCGAGCCTCCACCCAGCGGCAGCTCCAATCCCGGGACATCCGCGCCCGCCCTGCCGACGCCTCGTGTCCGGCTCCCGGCCTTGAGGAGCGCGGAGGCGCTTCCAGATGTCGCAAACGGGCGCGCCCTGCGGTGCCTGGTCCCCGCGGGGCCCGAGCGCTTCCTCCGCTCGGCGCCCAAAGCCTCGGGAGGGCAGAGGCGGCGGCGCTCCTACCTGGTGAGGACGCGGTAGGCCAACTCCACGTCTCCGCCCGGGACCATCACGGTCCGGGCTAGGAACTTGGCGTGGTGCGCCATCTCCGCCCTGCGGACCTCCGGAGGGGTCGAGAAGCGCCTCTCGCCGAAGGCCGGGGATTTGGGCGGAAGCGCCCCCCGCGCGGGCGGAAGCGGAAGTGCCTGCCGGAGGACGGCGCCGCTCCTGGTCGCCGTGGCAACGTGGTCAGCCCCGTGAGCCGCTCCGCGGAAAGGTTCCGCGCTCCCCCCGCCGATCTCGCGTGCCTTCGGTCGCGGCCGTGGATCTCCGGCTAGTTTCCCCGGTGGCGAAGGGCGCCCCGCGTGCAGGCTCTGGGCGTCGCCGTTTGGCTCTGCCGGCCGAACATCCCCGGCGAGAGGGAAGCTGCCCGTCTTCGGCGGAGCTGCCGCTGATTTGTCCGGTGTGCACGTTGTTCGGGGAAAGCCTGGGCGGTGCGGGAGTGAGGCGAGAAACCGGCCTCCCTCTTGCCTAGGAAGAAGGCAAGGGGCAAACCCCCCCATGCTTTTTAAATGACCTTACGACTTTTTCATTAACATCTTAAAATTTTATGCCTTCTTTCGTCAGACCCCATTTAAAGAGACATACATGTAACATCCAGCACTGATCATGCTCCCTAATAATGAAACGTCTGCAGCTTTTCTCTTGTAATTTCCCATGGGTAGAAGGCCTGATCTCCCCACTCTCCTTTTAGTAGCTCTGATCTGCCCCAGAATAAACCTACTAGCATCCCACTGATGATGTCAAAGAACAGGAATTTCCCCAGGATAAAGGGAGACCCCAGAGGTGAAATCCACGTTATCTGAGGGCAGTCTCTTTCTGGATTTCGCTCAGGATCAAAACCCAAATCAGAAGCAACCTGCAGAAGCAACCTGCACAAGGAGGACACACCCCCTTCCTCACACCAAGGACCAGTCCCCCCTATAAAACCATGCCTTCCCACCCCATTTTCTCTCTACTCTACCCCTAAATACAAATATTTTTGCTTTTAGGAAATGAATCTTCTTTCTCACAGTATGTCTGCAGTTCATTTTTTGTTTGCTCTTGCGTCACTCCTGGCGCATAGAACCCAAAATTATTCTTCCAACACTTTGATATCTTAACTAAAAAAGGGAATGTAAGATAGGTCTCAGGATTCCCTCTTTGAATGAGAGGGAATCTCATCATCAATTTTAATCATAAATTGTAATTAAATTATCTTCCTGCCTTGGTGACTTATGGAAGAGTGGGCATACTGGGGCCAGAGCCTACACCATATTTGGCCAATAGTGTATAGTTTAGTATCAGATCACAAAGATAAATGTCTAAAAGGATGGGGGAAAAAACCATAAACCTCATAAGCCTTTGTAGCAGTGTCTTTATTGGAACTAAAGTTTTCCACCCTGAGGGCAGGTACAGTTCTTTCTCTTGAACATAGTTGAAATATTTAAGTTTTTTAAAAGTTTGTGAAGAATGGAAAAGATGGTCTGCAAGTCCACGTCTTCTGAGTCATCAAGAGCTGTGGCATTTCACAGGCTTTCCTACAGATGATTCACTCTTCTCCCGCTTCTCCCCAGACAAGTGGGGCAGCGACAAAGCGAGACCACCAAGAGTTCCTCTGGGGGTGGAGCTGCTTGCTGTCAGGACACCAGGCAAGCTTTGACAACGAGGTGGCTCCCCTGAGCCAGAGAACAGCACGCTAGGAGGGCAGCCGTGTGCAAAAGTCTTGGAAGCAGCCTGTGCAAACGTAACCTTTTGGAGAAAGAAAACCACTCCACAATTGCTCATGTTTGGCCCCAGCAAGATCTGTCCAAGCGCAGAGTTCATCTGACTGAAGTCTACTTGTCCCAAGAGAGGGTTCAAGGGCAACGTGTGAGTCCAGGAGAGATTCAGAGCAGGTCCATTGCCTAAGGGCACCGGTTCTCCCTGCCAAGTGCCAACATCGTGGTCTTCTAAGGAAGAGAGGTCCGAGAAAGGCCTCAGCATGTCATCTTGGACGGGCGTGCTTCTGCCTCCCATGATCTGGTCTTCTACACAGTAGGACTAACAGAGATGGTGGGAAATCAAGCCGAGTGCAAGGATCCCCCAAACCCCCTTCAACAGGATAGCAATAGCAGTAACTTAGGCTTATATACTGCTTCACAGGGCTTTACGTCCCGCTCTATGTGGTTTACAGAGTCAGCATATTGCTCCTAACAATCTGGGTCCTCGTTTTACCGGCCTCAGAAGGATGGAAGTATGAGTCAACCTTGAGCCCCTCAGGATCGAGCTGCCAAGCTGCTGGCAGTCAGAATTAGCCTGCAATACTGTATTCTAACCACTGTGCCACCAGGATTCAAGTCCTGTTCCGTCACAACACAAAAGACCAGCTAAACATCCCCCCTGGAGGTAAGACAGGCCCCAATCCTGATCAGATTTTATCAGTTGGCAACATTCATGAAATTAACTTCTGGATTTTTTATTTTTTATGTCAAGAATAGTCAGTGGGGATTGAGTCCCTTATGATCACAACCATTCATGCAAAAATGGAACGGAGAGGCCAGGAACTTTATTGTCCAGGATCAGGAGGTGTTAATAGGGGAAGCATTATTAACTTAGACCAAATGGAGTAGTGAGAGAATCCAAGGAAAACCAGGCAGATGTAATCAACTGGAGAAAGAAACAAGCACTCAAACCACTCCTACAAGTACCAGAGAGGAAAGGAAAAACAAATAACAGCCCTCTCTGTACAGAAAGGAGAGTTCATCCCAGAGAAAGCCATCCATACCCTACAATTCCACAGGTTACGTGTTCACATATGTGCCATAATGTCAATGGGTTATGTACAGAATCCAGCCAAGTCAGGCAAAACAAAGTGATCTTGGCCCTCACCTTTGCTGCCCCACACGCCTCCCTGGCTGACACACCATAGCTGGCCTGGGAGTCCTTCAAGGGGATGTGAGGGAACCAGATCTTGAGCATCTTTTCTACCTGCAACAGGGTGCCCAGGTATCGCTCCCTGCAAGCCGAGGGAAGATGAAGTCAGATACATACATACTTAATGGAGCTGTCCAGATTCTTCTACGTCTACATACAAGCAAAGCTACAGCACTGTTTTAAAAAACTTTTTCCTTGTAAAATGTAGTCCAGAGGGGCCCCATCAAAAGTGTTTTATGACAAGGCAAGTCTCAGAACTGCAATAGCACAGCAGGAGTTCAGTGGTGACAAGAAAATGGTTAAGACATCCGGCTCCATTAGGGGGTTAGAGCAGCGCACTGGCCAGCAAAGGAGACCCTTACCCCATCTGAGGCTTCTGAAGGACACCAATGATGCGCTGGATCCGATCCATGGCCACACTCTGCTGGAAACTGCTTAGACCTGCAAGGCACCAAAACAGGAAGCTCAGTAAATGTGGTTGCTAGGACTAAATGGATTAGAGCGACTGATCTCACCCTGGAAGCCTTTTGGCAGAACCACAAAGCACAGTAGCAAACCATTGATGCTTCCCCCACCCCACCTGCTGCCTAGAGGGTGAAAGGATGACGTGCAGGCAATAATCTCATCCTCTGTGACTTGTCCACATTGATTGTTAAATCCAACACTCACCCGTCTGTGGACTGTAATGGGGGGAGGTGGGGGGGGGGGGGGGGGGGGCAAAAAAAGCAAAGAAGGCCAAAAATGTCAATAGAAACAATCAATTTCCGGAGCTCTGGTTGTAAAGGAGAAGTGACTAATCTCCAAGACAACCTGCTTGGCTGTGTAAGAACTCAATGCTTCAGAGGCTTCTGAATTACAGTGGGATGGGTTCCCCACCCCCACGCTGTGTGGCAGGGTCTCTATGAAGGGCCAACTGTAATGGGAATATCGGAATCAAAGCGGCTCTCCTCCCAGGCACCCAGACAACACTTGCAGCTTGCTAAGCCCCCAGTTGCCAGGATGTCCAACCCATTTTGCTCGCATTCAGGCACCCAGGCAGGCGCACCTGCTGCTCCTAACCTTGGTCAAAACAGCCCATTTTCAAGCGATTCAGAAGCTCCGACAGGGGGCGGACAAAGCCTTGGAGTTCCCAGCACTGTAAACATGGAGCACAAAACAGTGTGAAGTGTAAAAAGCCGCACAACAAGATTTAAAAACAGTTCTCTGGGGAAGAAAGAAGAATCTGGGAATGAATGGAAGACTACAATTGATGTTTATTCCTGAATCTTGCAAACTTCCTTGTAAAACAATACAGACAGAGCCACTATCTTGGTCAACAGGAGCACTCTGGCCATGAGGTTACCACCTATCTGCAGCTTGAACCAGAATGGCTACTCTACTAGCAGAGCCCCCACTCTAAACTGCCCTTTCCAAGCCACCTCCAAAGTCTTAGGATGGACTGACTGAACAAGGCTGCCTTATGGAAAGCAAACCAGACAGCTGTGTGGCCTCCACCTATTCTGCCAAGTGAAAATGATCCTTTCCAGTGTGGTGACGATTGCTCACCAAATCCCCAGTGGATTCTTCCCTTTCGCTTATAAAAGGAAGAAGCGGTGGGATAACTGCTCAGATCCAGAAGTTTCTTGGCGGGTCTACTTTCACGGAGAGAGCTCTCCCAATCCCTAGTTAGGTTGTCAGTAAGCTCACCTTTTGTGCAAAGGCTTGGTCCCCTTCCGTCGAACAGGGAGAAGGCAGGGTCTCTTCCGTTGCCGTTTCTTTCCTCCGCTGCCTCTTTATCCCAGGGGATGACACAGATGCCGTGGGGCACGGAAGGGCCTGCCTGCCTCCTGTGGTGCTGCTCGGAAGCTTGCAGCCACCACCGCCCTTGGCCCTCTTTCGGTTCACCCTCTGCCCAGGCAGGCTTCCCTTTGGACTGATCCGGTGGCTACGGAATGTCTCCCTGGGACCCTCTGGATCACAGGGACAGCCAGAGCCAGGAGGCTGCAATCCAAGAGGCCGCTTGGGTCCCTGACCAGACAGACCCGGCAAGAGGAGGAATCCTGAGCCATTGAGGCAACGGTGTCTCAGCAGCCTCACCTCCTTCCCATCATCGAGAAGGAAGATTCTGAAATTCCCCTTTGGTGATAGGAGCTGCTCTTCCTCGCCCTCCTCCTCTTCACTGGTGGCACTTTCCACGGAATAGAAGGACCCCCAGGAAGAGACGCTTCTCCTGTCCATGTCATCCATGGATTATCTTGATTGCTAAAAGAGAGGGAGGGGATGTCCATCAGCCTAGCTTCCTTCCTCAGGCACTTAGACTAGAAAGCGTTTACAGGTTGCTATTACCACAAGACTTTTCACCCCCCTTTCCTGGAACTGAGAGGCCCCCTCCTGTTCCTTTAAGCAGCAGCAGCAGCATCACCACTCAAGGCTACATGGGACAGAAGCCAACACCTTCTCTCTGCTGAGCCAGTCAATCACAGCAGCAGCCACCTATCTCCTCGTTCCCAAGCACAAGGAACAGAGCCTCTGGAAGGGGAGGTTTCTGCTAATTGGGTCAGCACCACAATCCATCCTAACAGATCCCAAGCCTGGCCACTTCCAGGCTCTACAAGGTGCTACATGCTGCCAGCCAGTGCTTTGAACTCTGCCAGGGGAAACACTATCCTTTCTCAGGAAAAGGAACTGCATCTCCATTCCCTTCGCTACTGCCGCCACCACCCTGAGAGCGCCAACCGCTCAGAGTCACTCCGAAGCCAATCTTCGCAGGGCAGGTCGGTGGGCATGCTGCCCGTCGGCCCGGTGCTTCTGGATGAACCGCCCCAAACGTTGGAAGCAGGGAAAGGCCAGAACCCCTCAGCCCGAGCGGCTTTCCGCGAAACCCACGGGAGGTGCAAAGCCAGCAAAACCTCGAAGCCAGGGCGAGGCCAGCGAAGCCCCAACGACGACGCACCTGAGAGGACTCGGAAGTCGCCTCTGCGGACTTCGGGAACATCTCTCGCCAGTAACCCCATCTCCGTCCCCGGCCTCCCCCGCCCCCCGCCTCATCACAGCAGCGAGCTCCAGAGCCGCCTTAGCGAAGGTCTCACGCTTCGTTCAGAAGTCACGAGCTCGCCTGCCCAGGGCTCCAAAACGCAAAGGAGCCGAAGCCGGGATTGACTTCCTGGTGACCCCGGCCTCGCCCGACGGTCCCACGCCAACCCACTCCCCGGTCCCGCTCCTGGCCCATAAGAAAGAAACAGCGCCGACCGTTCCCAAAAGGTCCCAAGCCGCCCGGCGAGGCAGCCACCCAACCAGACTCAGCAAACGCGGAAACTGCCACTGGCAGCCGGTCCTCCCTCGCCCAACGCCCTTAGGCGCACTCTGCACATGCCCCGGAGAGGGTCGCCGGCCTCGGTCTCCCATCCCGAACCCCGTTGGAAAATCTCGAGGGACGGAAAGGACGCCGCGCTCGCGCCGCCAATACCCACCGGCTGCTCCGGGCGTCTCCGACGAACTGCAGACCGCCGGGAAGCCGAGCCCAGCTCAGGGCTCTGACCACGCGGCCACGTGCGGCGCCGCACGTGCCCGCAGGCCCCGCCCCTCCTGGCCCGCCCCGAACGCGCCACAGCCCCGGCGCGCCATTGGCTCGTCCCCATCCAACGGGGGGGGGGGCGGGCCGCGCACCATTGGCTGGCGAGCCCCAGCCAGGCGCAGGCGGCGACACACGGGTTGCGCGGGGCAGAGGCGAGTGGCCCGCCCCGTGTCTCTGCGGGCGCGTCTCCGCGCACGTGGCAGCGGCATGCAAAGCGGCCTCCGCCGGGCTTTCGTTTCTCGGGACGGCGGGGATCGGATCCGCGGCCCCTGGCCTGGCCCACCTCGCTGGATGGTCTGCGGGGGAGAAGGCGGTTCAGAACCGGGGCACTACCGGAGTGCATTGCTGGAGAGGGACGAAAGAGGCAGCGAAGGCGGCGCGATCGAACGGGCGGCGGGGCTGCTCGCAAAGCGAACTTCATCCGGCCGGAGAACAGCTGTCCTGCCCAGCGGCCCCATCACTGCGGGAAGTCCTCCGGCGACACTCCGGATCGCGCGCGCTCGACACGAAGGAGCGGGAACCGGTCTCGCCCGTTACGCAACCCCGGCTCGGCTCTTGTGTTACTTAGCCTTCGGGGACGCGCAATCCCGAATCTGCCAGAACGTCCCATGATCATCACAAGCGTTAATCGGGATTATGCGAATTAGCAGAGGTGAAAGCGCAACGGCGTGAATTTAACGCGCCTCTATCCGGAGAGGACAGCGAGAATCCGAGTTTTCCCCAAAGCGCCAGGGACTCTCCAACCGCCTGTAAGAAAGACATCGCAATTTGCTTGACCCACCCATATAAGAACACGTTCCTCTCCTTCCAGTTAAGCCCAATGCTGGCGAAACGTTCAAGTCTAGCCTGTGTTTGTATTTCACGTTCACACATCAACCTTAACCAACGCGCAAAAGACCCGGTGGCGGTTTGGGTTCCCCAGTATAGGCAAGTGTCCCGTCATTAGGCGTGTGGTTTGAAAGAGACACACAGGCACCAACCCGCTCCTTTTGCTTGACAAATCAATGTGCAAGCCCCCTTTCTCCTTCTGCCCCTCCGCAAAAGGGATTGGCCCTGAAGCAAGGGGAGTCCTGCTGCTTTGCCTTTCCTGGCCTGACTGGGGAAGGGCTCCCTTGCCCTGCCTTCCTGTTCTCTTCCCCCCCCCCCCCCCGACTGCACAACCTGGCGCAATCAGGCAAACGCTGGATGGGGAACTGGGTCACCATGACCTGCTCTCTTTCAGGGTGGCAAAAACCCAGCACAGAAGAGGGAGCTGGTGGGGTCCAGCCCAAACTCGGGCGGGGGTGGGGGGGAGAGGAGTTTTCTGGGTTTGCCTGCCTGCTTCACCCCAGGCAAGGGGCTCCAATTCTGTAGAACTAGAATTCCATGGCATGGGACCCGTTGGCTGCTTGTCTTTTTGCCAATCTTTTATCAGCAAGATAATAAAAGGTCAATGGCAGTCAGGATCTTTGGCCCCATTGCTGTGGCTCCACCAATTGGTTACCTTTCTAAGCAGCAACAGCCCTTGTGGTTCTCCCCAGTTCCACTTGGGGGGGTGGGGGTGGTTGTGTTTAACCTTTTCTCTGCCAGTAACTTCCTCTTTGAAATTCAGCTCCTTTTCTTTCATTCTTCACTATTTATTATGGATTTAGCACTTGCTACATCAGAAAAATAAATCCACAGAACCTCAAGTCAGCTATCAACTACCACTGTGCCAACAAGCAAATTCATGTGTGATATAACCCATCCCAACACCTTCCAGGCAGTCAAGGATGAGGAAGGGGGAGACATAAAGGTGTAGTCCAGCAGTCATGAAGCACCAGACTGGAAGTGACTTCTACCCAAAATATTTTGTGCCCAAGTTCTTGGCAACACTCTGTACCCAGCAACAAGCCTCAACTCTGTTGTAATGAAGGGGAGACTCCTTATAGCAGCAGGAAAGGCCACAAAAGACCCCCCACCCAGGCCTTCCCAGGACCAGACACGGGCCTCCGGGATGCCACAACAAAACTGTGATGCTCAATATGTCCACACCATTATTATTTTTTTGATGCAAGACAAAATTAAAAAGCTGAAATGTTGCATGTCCATACGTGGAAGCTCAACAGCATGTGGCCACTATTTTGCCCGTGTTCCTGCCTCTGAGCCAGGCCAAAGCTGTGCCTCCTCCGGATCATCCCGCTGAGCCCCTCTCCCCGTGCCTGCCTGAAAGCTCAGATGAAAAGAACCGGCCTGTTGCGCAGGGACTTGGCTGGCACAAGCCTGAAGGGGAGCCAAGCTCTTCCAGCTCCCTCCCCCCTGTCCAAACACGTTTGGGACTCTACAGACCGGTGGACGGGTGATTTAAGGAGCCGAGTGGCCTCAGCCGCAGGCCGGCTGCCTGGCTTGCCCAGAGCCACCTTAAATGGCATTGGCCGCCTTCTGGTCGATGTCCAATGGGGACCTCCTGACTCCCCTGGAAAGAGGCAAGCAGTGGGGTGCAGATGTGGGAGTGGAAGATCTCGCCTTTGCCTGTTGGCTCAGGATCCATCCATTTCTTTGGAGTTTTTCTCCCATTTCACCTGTTTTTTCTTTTTCTGATATTCCAAGATGTTGCTAGTTCTCGCCCTCTGGCAAGCTCTTTCCCAAGCCCTGGCTGCAAGTGGGGGTAAGTGGCCTTTTTCTTTTTCCTCCCAACTCTTGGTTTCCTCACTGGGGCCCTCTGCCTTTCTCCAGGGGGACCCACTGCAATTAGGCAGCTTGGGGAGGGGGACTTTCTCTGGCAGAGACTCAGATGGACACAACAATGCAGCTGGTAACTCCTGGTAACCGCTCTGGGCTGCTGAGGCATTTTAATTTTTTTTAAAAAAGACGCTTATTTGTTTCTCTGAAAGCAAGTGAGCCCGTTCTCCGACTAATCATTTGGATGGAGGGCTGGCAAAGTTTGCAAACAACTCTGCTCTTTCTGCTCTTCCTGGGGACGAAGGTTCGCAGAGGGTCTGCCCTCTGTCTTCTGTTCGGTTAGGACTTCCAGAAGCTGTAATGCCTACAGGCATTTGCAGCAGCTTCTAGAATTATCTATCCGCCTTTCACTTGTATGAAAGCATGAAGCTGAAAATACTCTGATAAAATGGGAGGGTAACAATCTTGGAAAAGTATTTACAAAGACACTGCCTGGGAGCAAGCACAGAAACAGTATTTTTGAAAGAAAGTTTCTGAACTGAACAGCCCAAGAAGAGGAAAGAGTGAGGAAAGCAGAGTAATAAGAAAAGAATAAAAATTTTAAAGAATACAACCATTTGTAACAAGAGAAGATTTCAGGAGAGGAATTAGCATGAGTCTGACCAGGAAGCTTTGAAGGCTAACCTAGAGGTGCTTTTTTCAAAAGGCAACTGGGCTTTCTAGAACTGAAGAAGCTTCTTGGATGAGAAGCAAAACATGTTCATGGGAAAAAAACCCAAAGAAAGTCCGGTTGCCTTTTGGAGAAAGCACAGATGACAACCTAGACGACTGAGAATCTCCACAGACATCTGAAGGTTTTTGGGTGCAGAGTGCTCTTCATCAGATCCATCAATCATCCTCAACTCTCTTTTGCTCTACGGCATGATCTGCTTTCCGTGGCTCATGGACTCAGCCACTGCAGTCTGGGCTGACAACTCCCAAACCGTATCCGAGGCCAAAAACACAAGCCCAGCCAGGTGGAGCTCAAGGGGAGTGGACGGCAAGGAAATGGCAGCCTGACCCCTGCCTCTGCCACATGGAAGGAGCAAAGAGCACAGGATGAGGCCTCCTTGGCAGAGGAGCAGAAAGCCATGGTTTCAAGCCAGGTCTAAACGGGGGTGCCAAGATCAAGACAGGGAGGCCGTGTGCTGGGCTGGACTCCCCAGGTCCTCCGAGACACAAGGGCAGCACCCGAGGGATCTCAGCTCTGGGACTCCTCTCAGTTCTGGGGAGGAGGCCAAACACACATCTTCACGCCACCAGCCAGAATAAATTTAGCAGCAGCTCAAGAGCCTTTAGGAGGTGACATGTCTGCTCAGGGCCAGCTGCCCTTTTTCATGGTGGAAGAATTCAGCCTCTCTTCTCTGGTGTATCAACTCAGGTTTCACTCAAAAGAGAGAAAGAGGTTATCGCCTAGATTAAAAAAAGCAGCCCCTTATTTCAAAGGTCTGATCAAAGACTAGACTTGCAGTCCCAGTTGGCAGTGCTCTTTTAGATCCCTGGAGAGTAGCTGATCTTTTTCCAAAGCTCCTTTCTGAAATAAAGGACAGAATTCCAGCACAGGGGAGAATGCAGATCAGAATATGGCGCCATGGCCGGGGACAGCTGGAGATGGTGCCCGTTCTCTTTAAGAGCGGGGCTCCCACGGACACAGCCATGCCGCCCCCCAGTCAAGCTAGAGGGAGCAACTGCTCTCATACCCCTCGCGGTCATTGTGGAAACAGGTGTGGGATTCTTCCCTCGTGAAGGATTCAGCCCTGTCTTTGCTATGGGCTCCTTCTGCCAGGAGGGAAGTGCCCCCGCATCTGGAGCTCTAAGCCAAGAGCCTCTCCCTCTGCCCTCTGCTGCAGGTTCCCACTGGACATACGAAGGTAAGGAGAAACAGCTACAAGCGATATCTTCCTCTGCTCATCCGAATTGCCAAGGCAGCTACAAAGTCGGGAGGGGCTGCCCAAACGTGCCTCTTTGCTGAGAAAGGCTCCCACAGTCCTTCAGGTGCTCCAGAAAGGCCCTTCAGAGGTCTCCAGTTGGAAAAAAAAGGAACAGGCACTTCCAGAATTGGGGGGGGGGGATTTTGTAAGAGGGGGGGGGGGGCGTTTTCTGTGTCCCGGATCCATAAGCCTTTTCTCTCTTGCCAGGCTCCGACGGGCAGGCACACTGGCCAGAGGGATATCCAGACTGCGGTTGGCAGGCTCAATCGCCCCTCGATATCCAGACACATTTGGTCCAGTATGATCCCTCTCTGCCCCCCATTGAGCCAGAGGGATACCGAGACCCTGGGAGCGGCTCCTTGACCCTGACCAATAACGGGCACACAGGTGAGAACATTCACAGGATCTGTTTATCGTGTTTATCGCCTGGTTAAGAAGACAATGCTTTTCCTGCCCTCCTCACCTTGAGGACTAGTAACTCCAGAAAGAACGCCATGCCATAGATCTGCTTTGTGACGGTGTTCCTCCTCCCCACTGGCTGCAAGCTGAGGCCCCTTGCTCTCTGCCTCCACAGTGCAGCTCTCCCTCCCCAAGAACCTGCGCCTGCATGGCCTGCCTAGCATCTACTCAGCAGTACAGCTGCACTTCCACTGGGGCAGCAGCAACAGTCGGGCCGGGGGCTCTGAGCACCGCGTGGATGGACAGGCCTTCCCAGCAGAGGTAAGCCAGTGGCACTTACGTGCAGGCAGCCCCGGCCGGGCCGCTTGCTGGGGCACAAACAGTGGCTGAATTGGCCCAACGGAGGTTGAGAAAAGAGCCGCAAGGAAAGCCCACTTCTACTGGAGTTCTCTGGGGACTGCAACACCCAGAGTGCTCATCACGGCTGGCTGGGAATTCTGGGGACTGCAGACTCTCCCATCTGGAAAGCCCAGTTTAAGCAGCCCTCCCCTTATCCAGGTCTTTGTTTCTGAAGGGCCACTTCTCTGTGCCCATTCTGCATGGACTGGTCTGGACTTTTCCAATATCTGTGGCCCCCAAATGACTTGGGACTCTGGCACCATGGCTCCCTCACCCCCAGTTGCATCACCCGTGAAACTCCGCTGTCAGTTGCGTCCCCTTCTTCATCGCTGGTGTGTTGTAATTTCTCTTTTCTCCGTAACAAATGGAACAGCTCTCTCCTCAGAAGGACTTTGCCCTAACTTTGCCCTCTGGCCATGGGGTGAAGGAGGAATGGAGCTGTTTTGCATAGTCGGAAAAGCTGACTTGGCTGCCCGCAAGAAGAAATCCCAATTCCACCCCATTTCGATAAAGTCATGAAGCTCTTCCTCCCTGCCTTTAACTCTTTGTCCTCACCCTCAGCTTCATGTGGTCCACTTCAACTCAGAGAAGTATGCCAACCTGAGCGTAGCCAAACACCAACCGGATGGGCTGGCGGTGCTGGGCATTTTCCTGGAGGTGAGCGTCTGCTGGGTGAAGATGGGGCCATGGCCACTGTCCAGAACAGTCGAGCATTTCCTTCCTTCCTCCACCCTCCACACTACCCTTCTTGGCCGCTTAGGATCCCTCCCTGCTCCCTTACGCCAGACATTCCTTAGACAGCCACGTGCCAACCCTACAGACAGATCCAACGTTTATTGACGTCCTTCCAGAGCTTCTGGTAGGGGAGGCCCAGGGAAGCTCTCCTTTCAGACTAGGTCACTTAAGCTCTTAGCTCCTCTGCCGACAAAGGGGGACGACGCAGCCACCACTGGCATTCAAGGCGGTCTAGGGCTGACTTCTTCAACAGAAGGCATACAGCAAAACGCTTCCAAAACCATGACCAGAGGTCAGTGCTCTAAAGGAGGCATGAATGAGTCCCACATGGGCTTACGTAGCCAAGGACATCAGTTTCCCATCTAAAGAAGTCTGCATTCCTATCCAATTTGCCTGAAACTCTCAGGCCTTGAAAATTCCTGTGGGACGGTGCCACAGAACCTTCTTTCCTGAATGAAAACTGCCTCCTTGGTAAACATTTACCTACACCTAGTGCCAAGCAGAGTCGTCTTCTCCTATCCCTTGATCCCCATTTCTTTTCTCTCTCTTCTGTTTTAAAACTTCTCTGCCCCACATGAAGCAAATTATTCAGCAACGGGCAGGGCACTGTGCCTTTGGTGGTCTGGCAAAGAAAGAGAGCCAGCACTGATCAGCAGAGAGAAGTCACTTCTTCTTTGCATCTGGCAGGTTGACAGTGTGGAGAATCCTGCCTACAACCACATCTTGGGCCATTTGGACAGCATCCTTTATGCAGGTAGAAGTCCTTTGGGGGAGGGAGGGCTGCAGGGGCTGGGGCACAAGGGGGAGAGAGGAACTGCTGGCAGAAACCCTGAAATCCAAGCTGGGCTCCCGAGGAGGATCGAGACATGTCACTTTGCAGTCTGCTTCTTAAAATACACGCCCATTTTACAATAACAGTGAAAACAAAGCATTCAGGACCATTAATTTCTTGAAAAAAGCCCTGGAAAATAGATTTTATATTTCCAGTGATTCTCAGCGGTGAGATTCTTCAGAAGCAAACACTTTAAAGCCCGCCAGCCAAGGAGCTGCTCTGCAGAAAGGCCACTGCGCCCCCTGCCCGTTTCTTGGAGCTGGGAGACCAGCTAGGTAGTCCTCCAGCCTTATGCAGCCTCAGGGGCACAACAGAAAAGCTCCCAAAAGCCAGCCCTGGACTCCCCCCCCCCCCCGCACCTCTTCTGCCATCATCCCGGTTTTCTCTTTCCGGTTTCCCACCTTTTAAACTCATCAGAGCAAGAAGTCACCGTTGCTCCCTTCAGTGTGCGAGAGCTTCTCCCGGCGCATCTGGGCCACTACTACCGCTACAGTGGTTCACTGACAACCCCGCCTTGCTATCAGAGTGTGCTGTGGACAGTTTTCCGCCAGCCCGCCCGCATCTCTGCCACTCAGGTAGAGCCTGAAAGATGAAGTCCATCATTAAGTTTAGGCAAAGGGTCTGCATGTTGTGATGGGGGGGGGGGGGGGGGGGGCCCCGGGGCCGGGGGGGGGGGGGGTCCCTTTTCCCCCAAAAAAAGGGGGGTACCCCCCGGGGGGCCCCCCCCCCCCCCCCCCCACACACACAAATTCCTCTAGAGGAAACTAGTAACTTGCTTGACTCACATCTTTTCTAGCTGGAGAAGCTGCAGAAATCTCTTTATTCTACAAAAGACGGGAAGACACCCTCTGAATTGCTGGTCAGCAACTTCCGGGTGCCCCAGTCCTTGAATCAACGCGTGGTCTTCGCCTCCTTCCCTGTGGGTGAGCACAGAGGCTGCTTTCCTGGTTTAGGTACCTGGACTTTCCTGGAGATGGGGGACGCTGCCCTCTGGTGGACAGGTTTGGCGCAGCACCAAATCCAGGCTGGTGCAGTAAAGCAGAGAGAGAAAAAAAGGGGTGGGGGTGAAAGGAGGAAGCAAACCTGCCCCCAGAACTCTCTCTCTTCCCTTCCCTTCTAGGGCCATCTGAATACTCTGCAGGTGTGACTCCCCTCCTGTGATGCTTGCTCAAGGGAGCCAGGAGGGACTTGCACAACCAGCTAGCCAAGCTGCAGTGGTGGTAGAGGACGGGAGCCTGGCCAATCCAGCCCTGCCCTGCCCTAGGGCCAGAGGAGGACCTGGTTAAAGAGATAGCCATCATGGGTGGGGAGGGATTTCTGTCAGTCCAATAATCATGCAAAGAAAATGGGAAATGGCAAGCTGGACCCCCTTTCTGGTGGTTCTAGAACGACACCTGCTATGGTTGTGTTTTCCAGCCATGAACTTCCTGGCCTCATACCTCAGTTTGTTCACCGTTCTAGTCCTCAGAGAGGAAGTGCACTCCATTTTTAAACTTGGGGTGTATCCCATCTCCCCCACCCCACCCCCTCTTTAACTGTTCTGACCTCTTCCCTCTTTTCTCTTTCCAGGTGAGGTCATTGCCATAATTGTTGCAGTGCTCTTGGGCTGCCTGGGTGTCTTCCTTGCTGGCTGGATTTTGGCAAAGAGAACCCGGTGAGGAGCAGGTGAATGTGGGACGCCAGCCCGGTTCCTGCCTAATTGCATTGCAGTGCCAGAATATGAGAGGTTCCCCCATGTGTTGTTCTGGAAGAAAGGGCAAGCGATTGAAGTGACCCCCCCCCCCCACTCCTCACCACACGGAGTACCGAGAATGTGAAAACCTAGAGAGAATTTCTCTGCAAAGAGAACATAATAGATATTTATTAAACTTCCTCCTGCCCCTGTTGTGAGCTTTGTGTTTTTCTACTCTAGTGAACAAGAATGGCAGGAGCAAAGGGCCACTGCAGAAGCCTCCCTACCAGGAGTCAAAAATTGAACATGAGATTACTCCATGCTGAATATAAGAGAAACTTGCTCCTGTAGTAAAGGATCTGGGGATTATTCCTGAACGGATTCTGCATACTTACTTACTTAACTTACTTATTTATTTAGTCAAGCGATTATAAGATAACAGATATAAGTATAAACATACACGAAATGGATATATATAAGAAAAATAAAAAGTAACAATAGGACAGGGACGGTAGGCACGTTGGTGCGCTAAAGACCTCTTAGGAAAGGGGTGAGGTCAATAGTAGACAGTCTAAGGTTAAAGTTGTTGGGGTTTGGGGAAGAAACCACGGAGTCAGGTAGAGTATTCCAGACATTGACCACTCTGTTGCTGAAGTCGTATTTCCTGCACTCGTTTGGTGCGTTTAACCTTCAGTTTGTATCTATTGTGTGCTCTTGTATTGTTATGGTTGAAGCTGAAGTAGTCATTGACAGGTAGGACATTGCAATGTATAATTTTATGTACTATACTTAGATCAGACCGAAGGCGTCATAGTTCTAGGTTGTCTAGGTCTAGAATTTCAAGTCTGGTGGCATAAGGCACTTAACAGATCAAATATCTTTTTAGAGCTATCTTTCAGGCATGTTGGGCTGTTAACCCGTCCCCCTTCCCCAGAAAGAATGGGTGGGTGGGACCTCTTGTCCTGGAGACGGCCAATCTAGAAAGAGTAGAAGCCCAGTGCTGCCTTCTTAAGAGAACCAGATCCAACACACATTTTAGCTCAAATCCTGGGAAGCCTTCCAGATCCACTCACCAGCCCAGATATCACCAGAGGGTTGACAGTCGTCAGGGCCAGCTTCCAGTAGTGCCTCTTCTCACAGGTGTTGAAGAAAATGGTCCCCCAGAACACGTGTAAGAAAACCAGGGCCATGGTCAGAAAAGCTGGATTGAGAAGCTGAGAAAGGGGAATTCAGCCACGTGACACACCTGAGTTTGTGGAAAGCCTCTGACAGCTCAGTGTACGGAATTGGGCCAAGCACAACAAAATGAGACTTCATCAGACAGGCACAGGCATATAAAAATGCCTAACAAAAGGATTAGGAAAATGTTCAAAAACTGTAAAAAATCATTTATTGTAAATGTCTATGGAGATTCTCAATCATCCCCACCATGGTTGTCTCAAAAGTGCTTTCTTTTTTCAAAAGGCAACTGGACTTTCTTGACTTTTCTTTCTTTCTTTGAAAACCTTTTGCTTCTCATCCAAGAAACTAGATCTCACCCTCAGAACTGAAGAAGAGTTTTGGATGAGGAATAAAACATTTTCAAAGAAAAAAAAAACCCAAGAATGTCCAATTGCTGTTTGAAAAAGAAAAAAAAAGTACTTTGGGGACAATAGCTTTACTGTCTTCAGCATTTTCTTAAGGAAAGCCTTAGGACTGTTTTTTCACGCCTGTCACAACAAAATGCTGTTTCTGTTTTGGTGGGGTTTGCAGCCCAGTCTATGCACATCACACACCAGGTGAAGCAGGCCTGAAGAAGCAGTTATGCCAAAAGTGTTATAGATTCCTCCCTGCATCAAACCCTGTCTTGTGTGGGGGAGCTGCCTTTCTATAGCCTAGCCAGCTGTATCTCATACTTTTTCTGATTCTAAAAAGTTTGAAAATGCTGAAACACCACAGGGACCAGGGGAAAAGCCACATATATGCAAGTCCTCTCACTTTCTTTAAAAAAAAAGTTTGCTCCAGCAACCTGTCCTCCCACAAAAGATCCTACCTGAAGTAATGAAGTAATAGGGCGAATCCCCATGGATGCCAACTGTGCCGGGACCAATGGAATTGGCAAGGATGTTAATGATGGAGAAGAGGCCACTGATAATCCCAAAGGAGAGGCCAGACACTACTGGTGGGTGGGAAATCAGAGTGGAAAACATTTGAAATGGTTTGCCCAATTAGCAGCAACCCTGACAGCTGCTTAGAAAAGGCATGGCATGAGCACTCCGAAAAGGCAGTTCCCAAAATGAGACAGCAGCTTTTTGAGGCATAACTATTCTGAAAAGGAAGTGAATCTAGAAGTGTTTGGGGTGCCAAATGTGCAGCAGCCACTTAAGCCAAGCTTAAGGTCATCAAAAAGCAAAAAAGGAGGGGAGGGGGGCAGAAGAAGACCCCTGACTCTCCTCTGCGGCAACCCCCAGAGGCGGAGGAGGGTTCACTCACCAGAGGCCATTTGTTTGGTCCAACCGGGGAATGGCCCATCTTTGCTCATGGTCACAAGCCCTTCATCTGCTCTCCTAAAACAGGAGGCAGAGGAAGCGGGGAACTCGCTTAAGCTCCACAAACACCAGTAACAAGCGGCCGCCTCCACTGACTACCCTTTCTTTCCCCTCTTCTTGTTCTTCTTGGATTCTTTGGTCCCATTTAGGTTCAAGGAACAAAATTTCATCTTGAATTAACACCATCACTAACTCTCACACAATCCCAAGGAACAGAGAGTACTGGGTTCACCAATCCCAGCTTAAGCTAGAGTCCCACCTGCAAATGAAATAAAAGAAAGGACGCACAAATAAACATCCCTAGAGAAAGAGTGACTTTCCACAGAAGACACCTTGCTCTGAAAGCTGAAGTCAGTACCAAAGAAAGCACTGGAGTAGGGTTATTGTTATGACTCCCCTTCAAAATTCAAGCGAGCAACACAGAAAGCAGCCGTTTCAAAAGTAAATCAAACAAAAAGGAGTCTCACAAGATAACGGCTGCCATAAATCACAGTCCACAGCAACAAGCTTTGCTCTGTTCGGCAAGCCAGTCCTGGCAAAAATTCTCAAGCCCCAGAGCGTCGGCTATAACTTCTCCACGCAATCAGTCACTTTGTTCCTGGCAAATTGTACCAGCTCAGCTGTGTCCTTTTATAGCCATTGAGGTAACGAGCTAATTTCCTTAATTACTGGCTCGCCCTCCTCCTTCGTTCCAGCTGGATTTGCCTCCTCATACGTCGTCTGTTCCTGACGTTTAACCATAAGTCTTCCAAGTTCTCATCTCCACTGGAAGACTCCCTCAAAACTTCCCTGTCAGCCATTCCCGGCTGATGATCAGATAAGGAACCAGAGGAGGTCAAAGGTCCTGACAATTCCAATACGTCAGGTCTGTCATCCTTTGTCACATCCATCTCCTCATCCTGGTTACTATTCCCTTCACTGAGCAATGCCGGCTCATATAGTTCTGCCATGTCCTCCTCACTTGAACTCCGATCTTCCACAGAAGCAGAATCCAAGCCCGGAACCACAACACTATCCCTCACCGCAGGGCCCTTCCCCCGGGTCTGACGATCCGGATGCGGTTTCGAAGGGAAACATTCATGAAAGTCCCGAATCATGTCTGGAGCATGAACCGCAGATGCATCCGTCCATGAGCAAATCTCCGAGTCATCCACTGTGTGAGAAAGTCCATGGAGATCGCTCCCCATGGTCTGCTCGGAGTCGGCAATGGTTGGAGGAGTCCAGGGGGCGCACCCGACGCCACTTTCGCTTGCCTACACTGAACGCAAGAAGCGACGTAAGAGAACACATCGTGACAAACCCGAGGCCACCAAAAAGTCCGGGTGACCAAATGCAAGGTTTCATAAAATCCAAAATGGCCAGCAGCGGGGTTATCATGACATTGTGTCATGATGAGAGCTCTCAACGACCTGGTAGGTACATATAATAAACCCCGATGTCGGAGCAGGCCCTCTTCAAAGGACCATGGAGAATCAGGTCCAACGTCCCCCTGTCTCTGCTGCGTCCACGCATCCAATCGTTGCGCCTCCCGTAGGTGATCCCGAAAATCTACTGGATCTTGCAGTACAGCCAAGGATTCTGGTGGTAACACCGTTCGTAGAGGAAGAGGATCCTCGGGACAGATATACTCAGGCTTCCGAGACAACGCGTCTGCCCTCCGGTTCTGTCCACTTGGAACATAAGTAACGGAGAAATTGAACCTGGCAAAAAACAACAACCACCGAATCTGGCGTTGATTCAATTTCTTAGCTGTGGTTAAATGTTCCAAGTTTCGATGATCCGTCCGAACCTCTACCTTGTGCCGAGCCCCCTCTAAATGATGTCTCCAGGTCTCAAAGGCAGCCTTAATGGCCAACAACTCCTTTTCCCAGATGGTGTAGTTGCGCTCTGAAGCTGTGAGTTTCCTAGAATAGTATGCGCATGGGAAAAGGGGCGCGCCATCTTTCGAAGCTTGTAACAGTACCGCTCCGATAGCGACATTAGAGGCATCAGTCTCGACCACAAATGGACGATTCGGATCAGGATGCCTCAATATCGGCTCAGCTACAAACGCTTTCTTTAAAATGTCAAAAGCCTGTTGTTGCGGGGGCCCCCACACAAACGGGACCTTCTTACGGAGGAGCTGAGTTATGGGGTCCATTACTTTAGCAAAGTCCGGGATAAAAGTCCGATAGTAGTTGGCGAATCCCAACAGACGTTGTAAGTCCTTGACTCGATGAGGGGCTTCCCAACTACATAATGCTTCAACCTTTTTAGGGTCCATAGCAATGCCCTCGGGAGAAATGATGTGCCCTAAAAACTTTATCGACGACTGAAAAAAGAAACACTTCTCCAGTTTCGCATAGAGTTTATGCTCCCGAAGACGCTGAAGCACTTGGCGAACCTGCTGAAGGTGGTGACCTCTGCACCGGGAGTAAATTAAAATGTCGTCCAAATACACCACGACAAACCTATCCAGCATGTCCCAGAAAATATCGTTCATCAAATGCTGGAATACAGCAGGAGCGTTGGTCAGACCAAATGGCATGACGGTGTACTCAAAATGACCATAACGAGTGCCAAACGCCGTCTTCCACTCGTCCCCCTTGCGCATCCGAACCAGGTTGTAGGCCCCACGCAGATCGAGTTTAGTGAAGATAGTAGCCTCCCGCAACCGCTCCATCAATTCCGGAATGAGCGGCAAGGGATAGCTATTCCTCACGGTGATAGAGTTCAGGCGTCGATAATCACAACAGAGTCGAAGTTCTCCCGACTTCTTCTTAACAAAAAGAACGGGCGCCGAAAGAGGGGACGAGGAGGGTCGAATAAATCCCCGAGCTAAGTTTTTATCTAAAAACTCTCGGAGTGCAACCAACTCGGGCTCTGACATGGAGTATAACCTCCCCTTTGGCAATGGAGCGTCCGGTATCAGGTCCACGGGACAATCATAGGCACGATGTGGCGGTAATCGGTCTGCCTCCTGTTCGCTGAAAACATCGGAGAAGTACGACAGCTCCGAAGGAATGGAGACAGCAGGAGCGGCGATATCTTGGCCAGCGCAGAAATGCCTCAGGTGGTCCACACATTGTAGGCTTGGAAAAGAAATGGCGTTCTTGCGCCCAAGCCACCAACGGATCGTGCAAACGCAGCCAGGATACTCCGAGCACCAAAGGGAGATGGAGGTTCGAGGTGACATAAAAACTTATCGCCTCCTCATGATCCCCAATAAGCATACGCACTGGCTGAGTGGCGAAGCGAATGGGTCCCGACTTGAGTTCACGCCCATCTACAGTTTCCACCTTAATGGGTGGATTCACAGGAATCAAGGGAATTCCAAAATGTTTAACAAAAGCACAGTCCATAAAGCTGGTTGTAGCCCCTGAATCCACCAGCGCAACGGCGGGAATTCCCTCCTTCTGGGACTGCAGAAATATACGAGTGTCCAAAAGTAAATGCCGAGGAGGGCCAGGATTTACTTCGGCAATTTGGGATGGGGGTGTAGGATGTGCCCGACCTAGGGTTTCCCTGAGGTCGGGCCTACCCCGTTTCCTGACGGACCAGGAGTGGTTTCGGGCACAGGTCTGCGAGTCCCTCTCCGAGTGCAGGAATTTGCAAAATGCCCCGAACCCCCGCAATAAAGGCACAAGCCTTCCTGGAACCTTCTCGAACGTTCTCGCGCCGTTAAGCGAGGGCAGAGTGCGCCTATCTCCATCGGCTCCTCAGCCTGAACCGTGGGTTGGAAAACTCTCGGTGGCGTGATGCGTGCGCGAGAAAACACAGGTGGTTCCACAACGGGCCGTTTTCTCCCACGTTGCTATAAACGAGCTTCAATACCTAAGCACTGGATTATCAATGCATCCAAAGTTGAAGCCCGCTCTGCATGGACTAGCTCATCCTTGATGGCATCAGACAAGCCTTCCTGGAATGCAGCCATATGAGCCGGTTCGTTCCAGTTAGAGTCCATACACAGCAAACGAAATTCTGCAACGTATTCCTGCAGGGGACGTTTCCCCTGATTAATGTCCCATAACCTTCTAGCCACAGTTTGTATTTTAATTGGGTTCTCAAACATTACTCTCATTTGTTGGAGAAAACCCTGGAAATTGTCCAACAACGGGCTATCTTGAACTAACAAGGGAGTAGCCCAGTTAATAAACTGATCATAAATCCTACCTTAGCCCAGTCGGTTGGGAAGTCTTCAGGCCTCAGAGATAAACAATTGGCACTGACCCATAAATGCAGGGAACATGTCCGTTTGCCCAGAAAATTTCTCCGGCATAGATACCGGGCTTTTCCTCAAGGGAGGGGCAGGGGGAGCAGCAGCAGGGCTTTGTAAGCTGGAAACATAATTCAGCAGTTGTGTTACCTGGTTCTGAAGCGTTACATTGCTTTGTAGTAACTGATTTATCTGCTGTTGTTGTTGCTCTACCAAACGCTGCAGTTGGTTTGAATCCATCTTGCTTTAAAGATGGTTTGTTTGTGGCCAGGAACAAAAATGTTATGACTCCCCTTCAAAATTCAAGCGAGCAACACAGAAAGCAGCCGTTTCAAAAGTAAATCAAACAAAAAGGAGTCTCACAAGATAACGGCTGCCATAAATCACAGTCCACAGCAACAAGCTTTGCTCTGTTCGGCAAGCCAGTCCTGGCAAAAATTCTCAAGCCTCAGAGCATCGGCTGTAACTTTTCCACGCAATCAGTCACTTTGTTCCTGGCAAATTGTACCAGCTCAGCTGTGTCCTTTTATAGCCATTGAGGTAACGAGCTAATTTCCTTAATTACTGGCTCGCCCTCCTCCTTCGTTCCAGCTGGATTTGCCTCCTCATACGTCATCTGTTCCTGACGTTTAACCATAAGTCTTCCAAGTTCTCATCTCCACTGGAAGACTCCCTCAAAACTTCCCTGTCAGCCATTCCCGGCTGATGATCAGATAAGGAACCAGAGGAGGTCAAAGGTCCTGACAATTCCAATACATCAGGTCTGTCATCCTTTGTCACATCCATCTCCTCATCCTGGTTACTATTCCCTTCACTGAGCAATGCCGGCTCATATAGTTCTGCCATGTCCTCCTCACTTGAACTCCGATCTTCCACAGAAGCAGAATCCAAGCCCGGAACCACAACAGGTTATTATCCCTCAGACCGCAGTTCCTGGGAATCTCTGGAACAAGTTTATAGAGAAAAATTAAGAAAATTAAGCCAAGCATAGACTGGCTCCACGGATTGGCCAGCTGTTTAACGGCAAGTCTCCTCCTCTGCCTGCCTTATTCATTCTCTCTCTCTCCCCCTCCCTCCCTCTCCCACCCACTCCCTCTTACTTGAGGAGCTTGAAGTGAGCAAAGCGGAAGGCTTCCTGCAGCAGGACAGACAAGGCTGCCCCAAACATCAGCAGGAGATGCTGCAGCCACTTGTCCTCCTGGTTACTCAGGTGAACGGAAATGAATCAGACCAGGGAAGCCAAGAGAAGGAAGACCAACCAAAACAAGATGATGATGATGATGATGATGATGATGATGATGATGATGATGATGA